CAGCCTACTCCAAAGCAAAAACCGCTAGAGGCTGTCAAGGTTGCAATAAGAAAGTCGAGCTTTTGGGTGTGCTCAGTTTATAGGGATAAGAGTTTGGGGAGGAGAGGGTTTAAGGTTTCGGGTTAGAGCTTCCGGACGAAAAGGGGTGCGGTTTTGAATCTACCCTAAGCCCTAAACTCTCTATGGCTCGAAGGGAGTCTCACAGAATAGAGGCATGATCCGGGACTCTAGAGCATGGACCCAGAGGATCCTCTAAGTATCTTTATACGGGATAGTACCCCCAACCAGACTACTGATTCCTAGTATAGAAGCCCTACATGCAAATTTAAGATCCTTCGAGGGGGTTCTATTGAGCTTATAACAAAACTGCAGCCGTTCTCTGTTCAGTCTCTTCAGGCTTCTAGGCCTCCTGAAATTCGTTTCTTGCGGGAAACCTAAAGCCCGAAGTCCTAGACCCTAAGCCCTACACCCTATACATCCTAGACTCCAGACTCGAAAATACTCGAAACCCTAAACCCTGAACACTATATAACCACATCTAACCCTTATATCCGCCCAAAAAAAGGACCCCCCAAAACCCCTAACCCAACAGTCCTTGCAAGCCTGCAGCCCCCAAAACGCTGCGAAGGTTCGATCCCTAAGCCTTCCCTGTTCTTACTCAGGGGGTTTAGGGCTTACCTGAACCCCCAAAGTAGGTAAACTAGTAGCCCAAAACACCTAAAAATGGTGTAAAAGGCTCTTATTCTACATACTTTTGGGTTCCAGGTAGGGTTCCGGGTTAGAGGTTTAGGGTTTGGGGATTCAGGGTTGAGGGTTTAAGGTATACGGGTTTGGGATTTAGGGTTTAGGGTTCAGGGTGTACAGTTCATGGTTTAGAGTTGGGGGTTTAGGGTTCAAGGCTTAGGGTTTAGAGTTCAGGATTTAGTGTCTAGGCTGTTGGGTTCAGGGTTTAGGGATAGGTTTCAGGCTTAGGGTTAAAGGTCGGAGGGCTCCCCCAAACCCTTCACCCGTCAGAACTACACAGAGAACATGTTGAAAGGGTTCAGGGTTTAGGGCCTGCCCTAGGAGTTCATATTAGAAATCCATCTGTTTGACGTTTAGCTTGTGCAATGACCCACTAGGGAAGCCCTTACTAGACCCTGGAACCGAAACCCTAAACCCTCTCTGAATCGAACACGCACTGCCTGCAGGCATCGTCCGTTGATCAACACCTGCGCAAATGGACCATAGTCTAAGCTCCTTCAAGGGGGTTTTATAGGGGATTATATAGGGCTATAGGGGATTACTATAGGGACTATTGTGAAGGGGTTTATGGTTTAGGACTTAGGGTCCGGGGTTTCGGATTGAGGGTTTAGGGTCTAAACTCCTTAAAGGGGGGTTTACACCAAAATCAAAGGGATTACTGTAGGGCTTATTGAAGAGGATAAAAGAAGCTTCAAACTGTAGCTCAGATGGGCTCAGACTTTACCTCTTTCAAGCTGGGTATACAGCCTATACCTAGTGCCAGGCTACTGTTGCCATTTTACTATTGTATACTGTTGATGGGCCCCAGTGAAAGCTCCTAAACTATTGTAATTCCGGGGACTTTAAGGACTGAAGGTGGTGCAAGATTCCCTCCCTAAACCCAACCCTAAACCCTAACGCCTAAACCCTAAATCCCAAACCGTAAACCCTAAACGCTGATTTCCTCCCTACACAGTAGGGATGTCCCACATCTCTGGCTAGGGCTCAGGGTTTAGAGCCCGGAGCAGAGGATTGTACGTATCAGGTCTCCAGGGTTTAGGGTTTGGGGTTGTGGCTTTGCGGTAAGGGTTTACAGGGTTTAGGCTTCAGGGTTTGGGGTGGGGTTTAGGGTCTAGGGCGTGCGAATATTATGGTACTAGATTCCTTGCGTACTGATGGTATAGGGTAACTTACCCTAAGGGTCCAAGGACCCAAATAATAGGGCTTTAGGTCCTAAATACCATTAACATTATAGTACTTGGGCCCTCACACCTCTTCATTTGGGTTCTTGGACCCTTAGGGTTGCATGATAATTCATTCAGGCCTAAACCCTAAACCCTAAAATTCATTCAGCCGCCTGTAGCTCGGCTTTGTGGCTCCAATCCTGATCCCTAAGCTCGCATAAACCCTAAACCCCCTACCTGGACGCCTTTAAAGTATGTAGAATTATAGCCTTTTTGCCTGTATTTAGGTCCCTAAGCCAGCAAAAACTCTAAACCCCTACCTGGCCCCCTTGAGGTATGTAGGATTATAGCCTTTTTGGCAGTATTTAGAGGTTTCGGGCCATTATTTTACATACTTTTGGGGGCTTAAGTAATCCTAAAACCCTAAACCTTAAGACCCTTAACCCCTAATCCTTGAAACCTAGCTCCCAAGAGAAGGACCCTGCAGAACCCTGAACTTAGCGGTCTTGCCTCCACACCCTAAACCCCAATAGGCCCTAAGCCCTAAGCGCTAGACCCCAAGTTCGAAACCGCAAGCCCTCAACCCTAAACCCTAAGCCCTGCAGCGCGCAATCCCTTTCCCTAAGGGTCCAAGGACCCAAATGTTAAGGCTTTAGGTCCAAGATACCATTCATATTAGTATTTGGGCCCTAAATCCCCATTATTTGGGCCCCTGGACCCTTAGGGTTTACCTCACACCCTAAACCCGAAACCGTAAACCCTAAGCCCCAATCCTTGAAGCCGCCACTTCGGGCCTCCACGTTGTAGGTGCCCAAGGCGCGTTCTGGCTGACCTTGTGCACTGGACCCAGTAAGTTCACGGTCTAGGGCTTAGGGTTTAGGGCTTAAGGGGGTTTAGGGTTGAGGGTTTAGGGTTTGGGTTAGGGGGCTCAGTAAGTATACTGATAGCACAAAAAACCAGACTATGACGGAGGCTTCCCACTTATGTGAGCCATTGTCTAAACTCGAGCATCCCCCTTAATAACCCCTATAATAGTCCCCTATATAATCCCTATAGAACCCCTTCAAGGAGTTTAGGCTATAGTACATGTAGCCGAAACCCTATACGGCCTACGTCCCCCTCACCCCACACAGCACTGTTAGACGTCAGGGCTGAAGAAACAGGGTTCAGCGCCTAGGTGCAAGGGTTGACATCTTCTGGGGATCAGGGTCTGGGGATTACCTGAACCCCCAATAATTGCCTTTTGGGCTATATTTAATGGTTTTGGGCTATAATCTTACCTACTTTTGGGGTTCAGGTAGGGTTTAGTATGTCTATAGGGTCTAGGGAACCCCAATCCTAGCTATAGCCTGCCAGAAGCCAAAGAACTACACAGAAAAGACTCCAACACAGGATGCTTCATTGACTCTTGGCTTAGCAAACTCAACATTATCGGTTGAACGGTTCAGGGTTAGAGGTTTAGGGTTTCGACTTTAGGGTTTCGAGTATGGGCTTGCCCTGGTCCTTAATCCGGAAAGTACCCAACCCTAAACCCTAAGCCCTAGGCCCTAAACCCTCAGCCCTAAACCTTAAGCCCTAAACCCTGAACCCTAAACCCTGAATCCTAAACGGGTAACCTGAACCCTTTACAGCAGCAAAGACCCAAAGATGGCCCGTCACTATGGGCAGCATCCCGAGCTGGCAAACGCGTGCCGGCACGATTTCTGAAATTGTACTACCTGGACCCCATAGTAGGTAGAATAACAGCCAAAAATCCCTGATAATAGCCCCAAAGGACATGATTCTACATATTTTGGGGGTTCAGGTAGGTAGAAATATTGTGAAACACTAGCGTTCTCTACCACAGTAAGAGGATGTAGGGTATAACTCGGTTACAACGTCAGTGTTTTTGCTTCTACCTATACCCCAAAAGTATGTAACATAATAGCCCTAAACCCTTAAAAACAGCCCCAAAGGCCATATTTCTACATACTTTAGGGGTCCAGGTAGTACTCATAGGAACCCCTATAGCTCGGTATGTCTGGTATATCCTAATTGCCTAAACCCCCCAAAGTATGTAAAATAATAGCCCTAAACCCCTAAAAGCAGCCCAGAGGGATAGAATTCTACATACTTTAGGGGTCCAGGTAAAGCCTAAATAAACCCCTAAACCCTAAACCCTAAACCCCTAAACCCTAAACTGAATTTAACCCATCCGTGGCTGAGCGCCAAGCCATCTTCTAACTTGACTTTCTGGGTGCCGAAAGCCTTCAGGACAGTCAGGCTGTTTAGGGTCTAGGGTTTAGGGTTTAGGGTTTAGGGTTCAGTCATAGGAAACTGTTTGGGGAAAGAAGTGCAATATCTCAGCGTTTAGGTTTTAAAGGGGGAGCTTCAAACGAAATTTGGCTTCTGACTGGAATACAATCATAAACTACGTAAGTATGTCTACTTTTTAGCGCTCTAGTGTCACGAACACCCTAGTTAGACCCAACAATGACCCAACAGTGGGACGTTTGCAAGAGCAGCAGACAGTTTGGGAAAATATCCACTGCACTGTTGCTGCAAAATGGCCGCGTAACAGGCACGCGGGCCATATCAATGCTTTTGTCGCACGACCACGAACGCATAACCAACCCTCAACCCTAAAACCTTAAACCCCTAAACGCCGAAACCCTAAACCTCTAAACCCCAAACCCTACGCGACGGAATTTTTGTGCAGCACGCTTTCTGCTTTGCATCATTTGCAGGACTGGTTCTTTGAAAGCATCTCGGCTTTCCCTGCCCAGAGCAAACATACCGTGTTGTACACCGTGCAGGTTCCTAGAAAGCACACAAGCAGTTGCACGGCCGCATATGTGTTGCGGCCCCCGAAATCTAGCATGAAGCGCGCAGCAACAGGTCCGATAAAACGGCTCACATTTACGCCGATCAAATTGTGAATTCGATACTTCTCGATGCCCCAAGCTGTTCCCTTCATCGCTGCACGCGTTGCCAGGCCTTGCGCAATGCCGTTCGAGACACTCGAAGACCCATAGATTATAGCATCTGCGAATAGCAATGCCCCTGCCCCGAAGAACTTCCAATCAAACAGCAAAATGACGCCGAGGAGAGCTGCTACAGTTGAGGCGAAGAAGACGTGGGATTCTGGCATCCACTTCCTGGCGATGAATAAGCTGGAGATTGCGGCAAGATCATGCTGGCACCTCCCACTACCATGAAAGACGCTCCGCAAAGCTCTGCTGACCAGCCATACGACACTTCAAGAAGCATCATTGTGGCCACCTCGATGGCTGAGATTGTCAAGGGCCTCTCGTAACTGTAGGCGATCATGTATTTTACAATGCCTTCGCGAGACTCTGATGGCAATTGCTCTGGCGCAAGCTCCAGGCCATCTTCCTGTGCTTGGGGACTTTCCTCAGCCGCACCCTCATCAGACTGACTTAGAATGGTGGGATAGAAGAGCGATGCCCCTGCCAGCCCCACAGCTGCAAGAACCACCAAGCCTATCATGGACCAGCTCATCATGCTGATGGGTGACACCTCTCGACCCTGACGAACCAGCAAGCTTAACCCAGCGAATGCAACAGGTCCAAGCACAAAGCCACCATTTCGGCCTGACTGCAAGCATGGGGATTCCGACTTCACGGGCTTCTGCCGGGAGGGAACTTCTTCATAACCCAAAGGGTCCATGTAGCTATATAGTATATACTTGGGCCCTAAAGTAGGTATATGGGAACCTCTTTGGGCCCCAAGTATATACCTTATACCTACATGGACCCTTTGGGTAAGGCTTTTTCAATACGAATCTAATACAACGCACAAGAGGGAAATGCATGTGCATTCCCACAACACATCCCGTTCTTCTGTCAAACCCGAGAGCTACATTGAGCTGCTGAATGGTGAGTAAACACGGTTATATAGGGATATAAGGAGAATTCCAAAGCAGTCAGCTACTTCATGGACATCTAAGTACAATCGAAACCTATATTCCTCAACCCTTCACCTATATACCCGTACAAAACCCCGTAGACCCCTAAAAAACCATGTCTTAGTGCAAGTATCTATTCCCAGTAAATACCTGAACCCCGTTATGTAGCATAATGGCCTTTCGGGCTAAATTTTGGTGTTTCGGGCTATTGTCTTACCCCCTTTTAAGGTTTAGGTATCTAGTTTCAAGAAGCCCCATCGCATTGTGTCATCATCTGCCAGAAGGTCTTCTCGCTGTCCGGCGTGATGATCTGCCACATGGTCATCCAAGACACCATGGGGATTGCTGCAAAAAACGACACCATACCTGCATGATCGGCTGGGTAAAGTCTCTGGGGTCTAAGGTTAAGGGTTCAGGGCTTAGACTAATACATGGGCCTCTTGCTAACGGGAGGGTTCAGCTACTATCAAACTGGAAGCTGTGCAGATGATCTGAGATGCCGTTCAGGACAAGGACCAGCCAAAACGTCCACTGCCGCGTAGGTAGACTCCAAGTTGCGGCTGTTTCCACCAAGACAGCAATCCCCAGGAGTAACAACAAACCTGGGCAGGATCTTAAGGTGGCATGTCAGGATGATACTTGCAACCCTAAACCCTAGACCCTGAACCCTAAACCCTACCTACACCCAAATCCCCCCCTGCAACAATGGTCTACGGAAAAGGCAGAGGCCTACTCTGACAACCATTTCATTTTGTAGGTATTGGACAGATTGGGCCCCCACCACTGATAGTGTCCACAAGAGGTAATGGTAGTTAGATTTTATATTCGGGTCCTTATATCTTCTTAGTATACCACTATTGGTGGCTGGGTGCCCAACCCAAGGTACTGGACAGAATGATGGCTGGCTGTTTGTTGTGCTTTACGAAGGAATGCCAACCTCTCTCTTCGAGCGAGCCAAGAGACAAAGCGAATTGCATGCCAGACCCAGCCTTCTGGCAAACTGCTGGTTCCAGTCGGCCTCACTTGTGAGCGGCTTGCCCACGACAAGTCCCACCACTGAGAATACCGTACCTCCGCTGAGGAAGACACCACTGGCAGTGGCCGATTGCCCCATCGCCAGCGAAAAATCCAGGGACACAGGAACCAGCAGCGCAACGTTCATGAACATAAGAACCCAAGACAACACAATTACAATTTGAAGGTGCACACTGTTCCTTCGCTCATGATTTGCGAGTAGAGGCTTGGCACCTGAAGCAACGTATGCCTCGTGTGCTGCAAGGAGAAAACAGAAACCGATGACTCCAAAATACACATGTGCATCGATGGGAACAATGAAGTCCGCGAAAGCCTCAACATTGATCGAATCAGTCAACGGCCCTGTCTCTCCCACCCTGGCTATATTGGAGTTTACGACGAAGGTTTTTTGGAGCCAGCCAAAGCCCCAACAAACATCATCTTCAGCGCATGCCTGAACCGTGTCTCGCAACATTGTGAACCCAGAGAGCCCAATATCCCTTAATTGAAGACTACACCTTATAAAGCATATTCGCCGAGGCATCCAGCCTCAGGGCGTTCAGATCCCTTTAAAAAACCCCCTCTACTCCCCCTTGCAAACAAGGCGGACCTGAGCCCCCCCCCCCCATGGTGGGTGGCCTAGTCCAGCCTGACCATCCCGCGTGAAATTTCGGCCTCGCCCAAGGTTCGAGGCTTTGGCGGTACGCGGCGGGCGCATTTTTCGTTCAAAATCA